ACACACACACACGCGCACACACACAAACTCACACTCGTCCGTACATGCAATCACTCTTGCCGTGCTTAGGCGAAACAGATGGAACCTCCCTTCCCTCCGAGTCCTCTTTTCCAGAGGCCATGAAGGAGGGCCCCAAGATGCCGGACCAGTGCTTCAAGGGTCTGGACGATATGGCCTGCCGAAACGATGCAGCCAAGCAAAAGGCTTTGGAAGACAAGCCCCAAGACGACAAGTTCGTTCGGGTTTCCGGGGTTCGAAAACCATAGTTTGCTCTAATTCAACCGTTGCCTATACACATTGCTTCCGCAAGGTATCTTGTTAAAAGAATCATCCTCCCTGCAGACCGAAGACGCCCTCAAGAAGTTGTCGGACTCAGTCCTGCAAAAGGTGAAGAAAACGAAGGGCCTTGTCAAGGAGCTCAGAACCACGTACGACCCGAAGCATGAGGACGTTGCGAAGCAAAGCACCCAATGTTCTGAGTGGATTCCTGTGTGCGTGTAAACGACATGTGCAGAAGTCTCAATCCTTTCTACGAGAACATTAAGTCTCTTCGCGCCAAGGGCCATCAGCACCTTGGAGAACGACATCAAGGGCCTCGAAGAGCAATACGACAAGGGCCAGGAGATCAATGTCAACGTCGGGCTGGAGGGCGGCTGGAGTGAAGAGTGGCTTGCCTGGGATGCTGCAGATTTTAGTGACGTTACTATCACTGCGGGATCCCAGGCTGTGGCGAAAAGCGGAAGCTCACATTCGATCTGCTACCTTTCAGCCACGACCTTACTCTTGATGCCTTCGGCGGGTCTGTTGGGTTGTTCATACATAGATGTAAACCCTGAAGCCCCCCAAAAAAGGCTCTGTATCTAGAAAGATATAAATAAATAACTCACTAAATATATATATATATATGTATATATATATATAGATAAACATATATATATATGTATATATATGTATATATATATATATTAAAATATAAATGCATATATATATGTGATAAACCATATATAGCTCTCTCTCTCTCTATGTGTGTATATATACATATATATATATAGGTATGTCAGAGTAAACAACATCTCGCAAATCCCCCATACCTTGGTACGACCGCCATCCGGAAATCAGGTGCTCACGAGCGACGGCCAGCGAGCAGAAGATCAGGCCGCAATGCCCAGCTTCTTCAGGTTCTGGTAATTTAGGGCTTATGCTTTTTTTATAGAGGGTCTGTGGATGATTTTTCTTTGGGTCAAGGGTTATGTATGTAAGCATACAAGGAGTAATACATATATATATATAAACATATAAAACCCTAAACCCTAAACCCACAACCCTAAACCCTAACCCCAATATACATATATACAGGCACGACGTAGAGGCACAGGAACGAGTCCGCAAAGGTGTGGGGTACATAACTTGCTTTATGTGTGTGTCTCTGTGCAAGCCGATTGATGAGGTCGATGTTTGGGTTTGTTTTCTGTATATAATATAATGTGTATATTCTTCCCATTGCTTATCTTGGGGAATTGCTTTTGGGCCTTAATGGTTTTTGCTGCTTCGTGATTGGTCTGGGATATTCAGTCCGGCACATCAACGACTGAGCACAAATCCTCAGCACCAATACTGGCCCCGATCTTTGCAATAAGCCCCTCTCTGAAGTTTTCAAGCCGAAGCCCACAGGCATGAGCTCCGATCAAAACAATAGCAGCCTCAAGTCCTTTGAGGTTTCGGAATCACAACACACAATATAATGCATGAGCGAAGCCTCTAACCCAAATTGTGAGTACCCTGAATGTGCTACAAAATGGCTTCATTCAACTACATCCTGCCATAGATTTCTGAAAACAAGGATCACAATCCCAAAGCATCCGGAAGAGCTTCGAGTCTCTTGGGTCCAAGAATCCTTGATCGCAGCCACACGAATTATAGACTATATATGTCTATATGTTTAGGGACTATAGGGTTTAGGTTTGAGTTTAGGGTTTATAGGGTTCAGGGTATATATATATATGTATATGTATATATATATATAGATATAACCATGTATGTATGTGTCTAAACCTTCTTCTATTTTCTGTAGAGGCCTCGAGACCCAGATATCCTTATATATATATATACATATATTTTCTCAAACCCTATATATATATATACCCTATATATAAGTGCGATCCCAAATTGATGCTGCCAGGACATCCGCCAAGCCATTCTTCGACAAGCAGATGTCGGCCCCCAAGCCAGAACCCAAAGCCGCGCCAAAAGCGGGGCCCAAAGCGGCGCCGAAGTCCGTGAGGAAGCCTCAGGCCAAGATCAAGAATGGCAAGAAGTAGAAAGTGTGGGGTTGGTCGCTGCGGGAAATCCTGTAGCTGATAATTCATTGCAGCTCGGCTGCTGTTGCTGTGCAGAAGACATCTTAATGGACGTGGTTGTTGAGTGTTTCTCGATAGGGTTTATATATATATATAGAGGGTTTATAAGGGCTTAGGTCCATTATCTTATTCTTCTATAGATGCTATTTTCTCTTATCCCACTATCTCTGTACTGTTGCAGTCTTTTCCTGCCTGGATGATGTTTCGTGGTTATTTCACTCTCACTCGTTCTCGCTCTCTCTCTCTCTCTCTGTCTCTCTCTCTCTCTCTCATTCTCTTTCTCTCCATCTCTATATATATATATATATCTCTCTCTCTCTCTCTCTCTTTCTCTCTCTCTCTCTCTCTCTGTAAAGACAGATATATATATATATATATAGAGCTTCTTTCTGTCTCTCCTGTAGGTCGCTCAACCTAGAATGGCATGCCGCCGAGCAACACAAGAGCTGCAATGTCGGGGCACAATCACAATCCGGGGTCCTCCCAAGGTTTGGTTTCACAATCAGGCGGCACAGCACGCTCAATCTGTGGCTGCCAGACAACAAAGTGAACGCTTCCAGCTACTGCATCTACTTAGCACGGCGAGCCAAGTGAATCATTCAGTACATATATAGAGGTACACTTTCCAACTACATGCCAGGTCTCAAACCTGGCAAAGCACTGCGGGGAATAGCGGCCTCGATCGGAAGTGGAGCCACAACCTCAGAGAGATCATGCGTGCCAACAGAGAAATCTGCTGCAGTTGGCTGATTGAACGCACGTTTGCTGAAAGAAACCAGACGTGGCTCAATATAGCGCCCAGTCTGATTTGTGTATTGACTATATATATATACATACAGTATCAGAACTTGTATGTATATATATATATAGAGAGTTGTAGAGAAATCGAGAGAGGGAGAGATAGTGCGAGAGCATTCTAAGATACATACATATATATATATATATATTTATTTATATGTATATGTATGTATAGGAATCTGCATACATCTTCTCGATGGGCGATGGAAACCCGAATCCTTGTGCTGATTCGGATGATGAGATTCTCGAGCTGTTGACATGTCATCGTTCTGTCAGCTTGGCTGCATCTAGTTTCTTGCTCGACTGGGTCATGCTACACACACACTCACACACTCACACACACTCACACACACACACACTCACACACACTCCCACACACACACACACTGTACCCACAAGTTGCACTGTGTGCGTCAGCTAAGCTTGGATGCCAAGGAAGATGATGGCCCATTCCCGTGGAACAAGAAACGGGTTCGGGCAGTGGCCTCCGAACCCACTGGCGCAGATCAGGTTGAGGCTATTGCTCTTTCAAAATATCTGAAGAGATTAGCTGGTGAAATAGACCCTGGGATTCAACCTTCAAAGCCGTTGCAGAAGAACAACCCCGAGAAACAGCCCAGACCTGTGCAAGTGCAATCATGCACAGCTGAGTGCCTGACGGTGGCATGCATTTCGTACGTCGTGCCCGGTTCTGGGGCGGTCGCCGGGAAAGTCCTACAACATGCTGTGCAACAGGTGCAAAGCTTGATTCGTTCCCATGGACCACTTCTTTTCAAAATAGGGTTTACTCATGATCCGACTTGGCGGTGGACCAACAGTCTGTACGGCTATGTGCATGATGCTGATGGATGGACCGACATGCTTATCGTGTACGTCAGTGATGAGCCTTTTGGACCTGGAATGCTGGAAGCCAGCTTGATAGATAAATTTAAAGGCATCTTCATTGCAATTATATAACTGCTGAATGTGTGTGAGTGACATATGACCTGTGTACTCTGACTTACCCAAGGCGTGCCTGGATGTCGCAATGTGAACTCCGGTGGAGATACCATCAAGGCGGAGCTCTCTACCTCAGGGAGCAAGTATATGACATATATAGTGTACAGGTCTTTGCAGAAGCCACCAACATGTATGCGGCCATCAAAGTGCTGCAGCTGCGGTGCAATCGTGAAAAATGCACAGCATGCTGTATGATTGGCCTTCGAAACCATGCCTGCCACTGCCTTTCACTGTCCATGCTGTCACGATGTTGCGGGTGTGTTTGTGTTTGTGCATGAATGATCCGCTCGCCAAGGCCAGCTACCGATCGGTGATACGTACTGCAAGAGACGTGGTTGCGGACATCGGTGAGGAGGCAGCGGCTTCAAGCGGAGGCCTTGCGGACTTAGCAAGGGTTCCCGAAAGTAAGTCTGAAAGAGATGGTATGCGAATCGTCCAGACGAAAGCTGGCCTCAGTTTGCCTGTTCCGCTCACATTGCTTGGCGAAGCGGATCTTGCGTTCCCGATTCTACGGCTGCGTGATTGGGGGCAATTTCTAGCTGACAAGCACTGCCTCCATATGCTGGTTGGACTAGCCAAGCCAGACTTTCAAAGAGAAACAGATATCTGTCAAGCGTTTTGGACGAAATACAAACAACTACAGCCAGACCATGAAATTTATCAGCGCTTTGAGGCGGGATCACTGGATCCCAAGTTTACTTTCCCTCTGGTTTTTCACGGAGACGAAGGCAGGGACAGACGACGCTTGCCCTTCTTGGTCTGCAACTATCACAGCTTGCTAGGCAAAGGGACACAAGAACAGTGCGGCCAGCATCGAGCCTACCTCAAGCTTCGGATGAATTTCAAGGACAATTCCCTGGTCACAAGACTTCTTTACTGTGCAGTTCCGAAGAAACTGCATCAGAAACCCCAGGTGTTCGACGCCCTCATGGAGAGCGCCGTAGCAGAAGCTGAGTTCATGGTCAACACTGGTGTGGTGCAAAGGTACACCGGGCGCAAAGTCTGAAGGCTTTTTTCAGCAGGGCTTTCAAATGATTTCTTAAGTGCTAAAACCTATATATGTATAAATCTGTTGCTGTCTTTTCGTGGGATGTGCTGTGTGTGTTTTCCCAGGTTTCTCCAAAGACCTTCGCTTGCCAAATGTTAACAAAGTTTGTTGAATGCCGAAAGCCAGGTGTGGTTTGCTGTGATTGGTGTCACTGGCGATTGGCCCTGGCTTCACCGCTGCGGGAATCTGTCCCGGAGCTTCAACAACGTTCCGAAGAAAACTGGTGAAAAGATGACTGGGATTTGTCATAAATGTGCCGCTGGCAGTGTGGGTGTACCGTGGGAAGTGGTTCACGAAAGGAACCCTGCTTGGCTACAGACTGTGTATTCTGAAAGCGGTTTCGCTCGTGTGCCTGCGATCGCCCGGCTGCTTTCTGTCCCTGGGCAAGAGGAAGGCCTCCTGGCCTTTGATTTTTTCCATGCCTTCCATTTAGGCATCGGAAAGAATTTTGTGGGCAGTTGCCTGGCATTGTTGAGTGATCACTTCCCGGGAAGCAATGTGGACAAACGTTTCGAGAACCTGGAGCTGAACTTTTTTACGTGGTGTCGTGCAACAAAGAATACTCCTGTTCTTACGCGCCTGACCAAAGAGACGATACAATGGGGCTCCAGGCAGGACTACCCTTCGGGGTCTTGGTTCAAAGGCAGTGTTACCACTGTTTTTTGCCGATACCTCGAGCATGTGCTGACCTCTCAGAACTGGCAACACGAGCCGATGCTGCAGAAGGCCGGAGAAGCCGCTAAAGCCATCAATTTTTGCGTGGCATCGCTATATGCATCAGACGTCTTCGTGTACCCGCCGCTACATGCTGTTGACGTAGCGGAACATGGATTGCGATTCTTACGACGGCTACAGTGGTTAGCCAAAGAAGGTATCAAGCGCAACGACGCCCTTTGGCTCTTGACGCCAAAATGCCATGTGGTACACCACCTGCTTTTGGAAGATATGCTGTTGCCGGCCCTTAGGGGCCTCTCCCCAGTAAATCCTCTCGCTTGGTCCGTTCAAATGGACGAGGACCTAATCGGTAAGGCGAGCCGATTAAGTCGAAAGGTCGATCCTCGTACATGCTCGAGACGCTGCATAGAGCGTTATTTGTGTGCGGCCTATGCTGAGTATGTGAAACTGAAGTACATCATCGTACCGGTTTCATGATTGCATGCACAATGCTGTGGTACGAAACATATCTGTATATATCTATATCACCTATCTACAGATGGTGCTTCTTTGTTTGTGCCATGCATCACATGAGTTGCTGGAGCTGAGCACCCGGCTCTTGCTCTCCGACGAGGCCCGGGATGATCAGCAGAAACGGCACATCGGCAGAGTGCAGGGGGATCCGAACTCCTAACCAACAGCCCATCCTGTAGACCCGAATGAATCTCTAGCTCTGTTTCATGTTGGCTTTGAGGCTTTGAAGGGGGTTCCAGAAGCATCGAAGTTCGAGGCAGAACGGTCTCTAAAAGGGTACCTACACAATCTGAATCCTTACCTTTGCAAGCACATCGAAAACTATAGGGTTTTTTGCAAAACCCGTCTTTTCCCTAAAAAACCCGGTTTTGTACCATAACCCTCTTATTATAGGGTTTAGGGGTCCCTAGGTAGGGTTTCGGCTTAGGGATTAGGGGTTTTTGGTTGAGGCTTCAGCATTGAGGGTTCAGTGCTGTCTCCTGATTACGGAATCCTAGCCATTTAAAGTTGGCCGAAACACGGAATGATGTTGAGGAATAGCGGCGGGGGCGAATACAGCGGCCGCAATAACCAGCAATGATATCCCCAACCCAGATCCCTATACGCCGTAAGATCTGAACCATAAGCTCCGTAGACCTTAAAGCCGCTTTCTACAAGCAGTATAGGGACCCTAAACCCTAAACCCCACACCCTAAACCCTAAACCCCTCCTGTATGGACCCTAAACTCAAAACCCCAAACCCTAAACCCCTCCACGGTTAGACCCGAGCTCCAAACCGAAGGAGCTGATGCAGGAGGACGATGAGGAAATGGAGCTGCAGGCCCCAGCGTTCTCGGAGTAGGGTATAATCGTGTTTAGGGTTTAAGGTTTAGGGACTTATAGGAGTCTACAGTGAAGGTTGTTCTAATAGTGTCTTATACGTAGTGTGCTATATTCTCTAGTCTGTTATAGTCTATAACCATGAGGCTCTAGTAGGTTGTCGGTGTAGGGTTTAGGGGTTTTGGGCTTGGGGGGTTCGGGGGTTTAGTATTTAGGGACAGGGTTTAGGGTCGGGGCCTGGTTTTGAGGTGTAAGGCTCAGGGTTTGAGGGCTTAGACTTTAGGGTGAAAGTAGCCCTCTGATGAGTAAACCCCTTCTCTTCGGGGGCCTTAATATAATGGATGCAGATTATAATCGCTTAGAATTCTAGGTAGGGTTAGGGAGACCCCTTAAACGCGGACCCTTCTTAACCCTACTTATGGCTCTCTTAAAAGGAAAGGAACCTGATGGAGAGGGTCCATATCCCCAAGGGTCCCCTAACCTAACTCCTACAGAATGTAGGAGGGTCCATTAACCTAGGATCCATCGAGCTTTTGGGGTGGGTTTTGGCTCTGCGGTTTCGAGCTAAAGTTGGGTTCAAGGGTTTGTCTAAGTAGATAGGCTTCAATTAAGTAGGTAGGGGACAAAGATTTGTTGGATTTGGGGCTTAGGGATTGCAGTATTGGGTTCACTACAAGGAGGCCCTTTGGGTCCGTGTGCCCAAACACTTTGGCCATAAAGTAGCCCCTATATAGGGACTTTGAGGCCAAAGTATGCCGTACCCTCTCTAAACCCTAAACCCTAAACCGCTGAACTGTGTCCTGTCGGGTTATTCAGCGGGCTGGTGAATGGCAAAAAGCCCAGATTCCTGCTAAACGACGCAAGCCTTGACAAGCATTGGTCCTATGACCTATGAGTACATTCGACAAGCCCTGGCTATACCATACCGTCTCTGCCTGCTCCGGGAAGCAAAGGCACGTATTACGATGATGACTTTTGGCAGAGCCAGCGACGACAGTTTTTGGCCATGGTTGGAGAGCGCTATGAACTAGTGTGTGGGCATTTCCGAATCTTTTCAAGGCATCCCGGACCATTGAAAGATTTGGCAGGATTCGGAGCCATCATGAGATTCATTGGGCCCGTCAGCAAGCTCGGTGTCAGATCATCAGTCCTGAAAGAGTACATTTCACAGCTATGTGCTTTCGTTCGCGGCGAGACACGGAGAGACACATTCAGACACAGGTCCAGGGAACTTATTGGCCAGGATGAGCGCTTGGGGAAATTCGTTCCTTACCTCAAGATGTCGGAAGTCAGGCTCACTGGTCAGCAGACGCACCCCGGGATTGCAAATGAAGCCTCCACAGGCTACTTTCCCGAGCACAGGTTGCTGACAAGAGACAGAGCTCGAAATGCCCTACCGTTTGATAACCTGACCTTCTCCGAAGAAGTAATCGCAACCTTCATCTTAAAATCTACTCTAGAGGCCGTAATAATTACCTATACTATGTTGAGGCGTTCCTTATTATAGCTTCCATGCTTCCATTTATAAGTATAGTGTAAGATCCCCCCCAAACTCTATTCTAATTATTAAGGCCTCCTACATGACGCTCCTGGATTCGAAACTTTGTTGCGGTCTTTCCTGGGCGTAACAGAGCTTGGCTGGGCTCTGTCGCAATGTGCATCTTCCCCTAGCCACCGAAGCAAATCCAACACCCCAAAGCCGAGCCCCGGAAGACTATTCTTCAACCTAGTTTGGGGTTTAGAGTTTAGGATTTTTTGTCGGTTTAGGCTTTAGGGTTTTTCGGTTTAGGGTTTAAGTGCTATGCCTTTAACCGGCGACCCCAACAGAATAATGTCACCCCCAATAAACCCTGGGATCCCGAAGCCGAATCCAGGAGAAGAGCACCACGCGCCGACGACGGGGCCGAAAGAGCAGCAGAGGGACTCAGACTTTGGCGAGCAGAACTAGCATGCGTTGAAAGGTGACGGGTGCATTTAATTTTTAATTAGAATTCCTCGAGCTTTAAGACTTTGTTTCCGGGATTAGGCTTGGACGCTTTATTTCGAGGTTTGTTTCTAACATGTTTTGTTTTAGGGTTCACTACGAAGGTGAGAACTGGTGGTAGTAATCCCCCTTGCATACAAGTATGGTATGGTTCCAGCACGTTACACGGCAAGGCAACCCCCCCAAACCCTGCTTGATTCTGAGCGCCATTAGCCGCACCACTCTGCTGCCCAGTATTAGACCCTACATGTCTTTAAAGGGGGCCAGAAGGGGTCGTGTCAGATGTTATAGGTGCTGCTGCTTTGGATTTCCGTCTCAGTGTTCAAAGTTACAGAGGTTCTGGGGTTTAGTCCCAGAGTTTGACAGAGTCCTGAGAACTCTTAAAGAGCTTTTGTAACACGATTTATAGGGTCTTAGGTTTACGATCTTCTCAGTCACTTTGTGGCTCAGCTTAACACTTTCCCTTCAGTTAGCACCCTAAACCCTAAACCCCTAAACCCCCAAACCCCAAACCCTAAACCCCTAAACCCCTAAACCCGAAACCCTAAAGTTAGGATCTCTATGCATCTAAGCCCGGGGCCCTTAGCCTACGCCTAAGCCTTGCAAACCTTGAGCCCCGAATCCCAAAGCCCGAAAGCCTGGGGAGCCCCTCCTTGGAGGTTCATGGGTAGTTTGGTTATGGGGTTCCTTTAAGGGTTCCTTTAAAGGGTTCTGTAGGGGTTTTTAGGGTTTAGGGTTCAGGGGTAATTATAAGTATGGTTATTATGGGTTCCTCTATGGGTTAGGGTTTAGGGTTTAGGGCTTAGGTTTAGGGTTTAGGGTTTAGGGCTTGGAGGTTCATGGGTAGTACAGTTATGGGTCGTTGTAAGTATGGTTATAAGTCTCCTAATATGGGTTATAACTATCGTTACCTTACTTATAGTCCCACTTACAATTACCCATGAGCCTCTAAGTAGAGGACCCTTTCAACGCCTTGATAGAAGCATCGAATCCTTCACAGAACCCTGAACCCAAACCCTACCCTCAGCATCGTCGGCCTGAAGAGCACATATCACGGCCTATCATGCGCCCGAGGCTCGCGGTGTCGCCGGGATCCCTCAACACCTAAAGTATGGCTTTTGAGCAACTGAAGAAATCGAGATGACACACCTTAAGAGAGAGGCCCCTCATTACAATCATCCCCGGAATATGCACCCCCCCGTCCTTCCCCGCCTTCCGAACAATTTTAGACACATGCGAGTGTCTCAGGCAAGAACCGAACCAGTATGGCTGCGTTGCGCACTGTTACGCCTTTTGGCCTTGATTGGAACGGGCTGGGGAAGGGAGCCCTGAACCCTCAAACCAGAACCCTAAACCCTAAACCCTAAGCCTAAACCCAACACCCTAAACCCTGAACGCAAAACCTTAAACCGTAAGCCCTAAACCCAAAACCCCCAAACCGCTGAACCCGAGAACACGAAGCCTAAACCCTGACCAAAAACCTGGAGCTCTAATGAGGCTTAGGTTTAGGGTTTAGGGGTTCAGCGTTCATGGGTGTTGGTGTTTAGGGGTTCAGGTTTTTGGGGTTTAGGGGTTTTGGGCTTTAGGGGCTTAGGGGTCCCACGCAAGTTCCCTGTAGGATTCTCTCGCTCTTTTTTCTTGGGAATCTCTTTTGCAAACCCAATACTAGGAAAAGGGGCACTCTCATAACTAAGGGGCTGTTGGGGATGCTAGATATACCCTGAGCCCTTACCCTAAGGGTCCATGTACTCATATAGTATATACTTTGGCCTTAATGTAGTCCCTATATAGGTACTTTAGGGCCAATGTATATACTATTTGGGCACATGGACCCTTAGGGTTAAGTAAAGCAACAACAGACCTCCCATCAAGCTCCTCTGCGACAAGGGTCCGCGAAGACTTCATAAGTCGCTCACCGGAAACGGTTGCCACCTTCGGAAGTACCTATAGTCTCGATTGTAGTTCCGTCTTTTGGTTGACTTGGTTTATGGTTAGGATCCTAAATTAAAGATTTGGTTAACCAAAAAATGGAACTACAACGAAAAAACATCTTGGCTCTAGGGTGTTGGGGTCTTTGGTTTAATGGATGAATGATCCTGTCCTCACTGAATCCCCAATCGCAAATCCTACACCCTCAACCCCTACCAACTCCGAGTCCTGC